GCCCTTTTCTATCTGTTCTCCTTTAACCAAAGGTTGTCTGTAAGAGATTGCCCTAGCGATAAGACCGCCTTTTGTACCTCTATGTGTATATTTCAATCTGTATTTATGTTACTGTATTTCACTTGAAATATTCACTTGTCATTGTATATTTTTATTTATGGTGCAATAAAGAGTTAAATAAATAAGTAAAGAATAATTATAATTTATTCTTAATTAATATTATACATATCGCTGTGTGATCCTGGCATAAAATAGACGATACCCCCTGTGTGTTGCCATTTCTGAGCATTCAGGTGTTATTCCTCTGTACCCTGTAAATTCACGACATATCCCACCCTTCAAACCGAAACACACACACACACACACACATATATATACTATATGGGATGGAGTACAACATACATCAGTCATACGGACGAAGTCGCGGGTAAAGGCTATTAAATATAGATATTTCTTTATAATAAAATTCTATTATTTTACCTCGTTGTTATATTTACTTATTTTCCACCTAAGAACAAGGAATTACATAGAAGGAATGATAAAATAAAAACTATAAATCATATAGTTGCCTCCTTTCTTCGTATGCAAATATAATTAGTAAAAAAAAGACGAAAGATACACCATCAGTTGCTATTTTTCTCAATTCATAGGACGCTAGTGTATAGAAAATGTTTGATCTGTCAATTATTTGTCAATGATAAATTTTACATTACTAGATTATATATTCGACACTGTTTATGTAGAAAGTATGCGAGCAGGTTGCATCTGAATTTGGTAGGGTTATACGACCGTATAACATTTTCTATACACTAACCTGCTATGAATTGACAATTTTATCACTTCCTCTATGTAATTCCTTGTTCTTATTCCTTGTTTACTACAAACTACATCTATATAATTCCTTTTTATTATCATAGACTGAGAGTAGGCAAAAGCATAAAACTATACATTCTTAACAAAAGCTAATACATACATAGAATATACATATATTAAAGGACTTCTTCCTTGAAGGATCATTTCCATCAATCACTCATTAATGGATTTGCATAAAGATCTGTCAATTTTATAGTTACTTAGAAAAATTGAAATTTTACTATTATATCTAATGCAAGTACAGCTGCTTGACGGAAGAAAGAGGCGAAATAAAGACCCGTGAAGCAACAGTGACTACCGGCGGCCATGAGTTGCTGGCCTTTTAGGAAGGAAGATATTTTTTTTTTATGTTTTAATGATAGATAAATAGATAGATACTCTTTATTGTTTCCTTCAAAAGATTACAATAGTAAAGTTATTATAAATATAAAAAGTTGTGTTTGCATGGCTGTGTTTCGGTTTGACAATTTACTGAAATAATCACAACGCATGGGGGTGAGAAACAGCAATGGGCGATGGTTACCACTTTCCATCACGTCAGCTTGTTTGCCATTCTAAGTTGCTAAAAAAAAAAAAAGCGATCTCTTCCAGTCGACCTTTGGATGGAGAGGAGTAATTATAAACAATTTGATCGGAGGCACGATGAAAAATTCAGTTAATTCTAAATATGGAAATGTGATCTCTTCTCTTTTCATTAAAGAGTTTTCTCTTGTCGGTGCAACTAATTCATTCATTCTCTTCCAGCCAGCTCTATCCCATCCCATATATTTGACCTCCCTACACGACATGACACCTGGTGTTTCCTTTACCTGCCCTATATGGTAACTCCTTGGTCTGCCCTTTCCTCTTTTGCCCTCTATTTTTCCTTCTACTAGGTTCTTTAATCATCATGTCGTATAAGGTGGAACAGCATTTTACCTCTTCAATTCTCTATTGTTTTTCTCATTTACCCTTTTCAAAGGTTACGACGTTAGAGATAGCAAGAAGCAAACTCACTATCACATTTACAATATCAGTGAGGGTTCTAGTTTATTCGACATTGCATATCAATGTCTACACTCGTATATTAGAAGCCTGCAATATCACGCGAACGGTGCTGAAATATTGTTGCGTAAAACATTCATATTTCAGACAGTATCGGCCCCGTGTTCACTGCACGCGTCTATAGTGAGAAATGGGTCATTGTAAACGTCATTTTGATGACTTACAAAGAAACACTTATCAGGCCATTTCTCTGGTCATTTCTCTGTTTATTCAGCAGTCAGATATTGATATTTTTAATTGACTAATTACATAGATTTTGTAATTGTTGTTTAAAATTTTTAACTTTGTAATATAAACCTATGATTTATATATAAATATATGTATGATTATGTTTTTGTATCAAAAAATTAATATTGTCCATACTAATTTAATAAAGATGAAATTTTGAAATTTTAGCAATTCTTATACAATATTTTTTTAAAGCGTAATACGCTCATAATTCTACTAAAAAAAAATGTGTAGCATTTATTTATGTCATTAATACATTTATTTAGTTATTATTATACATAATAAATATACAGCATGGGGCTCAAAAGATGGTAAGTGACTACCGTCGCCCTAATTAATTACCGATTGCTTGGGTACCTCTGTCTCATTCATGTTTCTACTCTGAAGCAGTTGTGTTTGCATGTGTGTGTGCCTGTGTTTCGGTTTGAAGGGTGGGAACATAAACATATAATGCTAAAAAAATAAAACACCTGAGTCCATCAGTCCATGGCAATATGTAAAACTTATTTATGTCCAGGTACCAGTCTATAGGCGATTTCACACATATATAACACACATATTGTCAAGTTTTACCGTGTCGTCCCAGCATAGAATAGATTTTTTTTATTAAACGTCGTAAAAAATAAAACCAAGCGATGAACAACAAATCTCTCTTAAAACAAAAGACTAACTGCGGTAAACCAAGAAAATGATAGCTACTGGCGTTTTCCAAATAAAAACAAGATGAATAGTGGACAGTTAACGACGGATAACATCAGTTTAAAAAAAAAATGGCTTACGTTAATTAAAGTATTGTATAATAAAGTACACTATAAATTACTGATAATTCACTACACTTACAGTTTTCCAAAACGTGTGTGAGTGAATTAATTTTATAATTTTTTTTTATACAACTTAGAATGGCAAACAAGCTGACGGCCCACCTGATGCAAAGCGGTAAGCGTCGCCTATAGACATGAGCAGTGCCATGGACATAACAGAGTATACTGTTTCGAAGGTGACCAGTGTTTGTCATTTGTATGAAATAGTATGTAAATGTTATCATGTTACTAGACAGAAAGGTGCACATACGATGTTACAAGACAATATCTGGCCCTCTAGACAAATGACAAGCGTATTCATCGATGGAATCGGGATCGCCCGAATCCATCGACGAATTCGCTTGCCACTATCCCGTTAGCGCAGGCGGGGTTACCATTAGATTTCAATAGCAAAAAAATTTGACGATGGAATTGAAATATATATATATATATATATATATATATATATATATATATATATATATATATATATATATATATATATATATATATTTTCGCTTGCTACTTGTCTACAGGTGGGGGGAAAGGGATTGTTAGTATAGGAGACTGAGAATCCCATTGCTAGGTTGACCTTCTCGCGGTTCCCCCTGGAAACTATCATGGTTAATTCCTGATGAATTCACCATGATGGGCTAACTGGCCTGTTTTCATTCTCATTGATCACCCTTCACTGGTGCTCCGCCAGCGTATCCCGTTAGCGCAGGCGGGGTTACCATTTCATTACCACCCATAAAAAATAAAATGTCTACAGGGCCTGTTGTACAATATATATTACAAATTAATTTTACTATTGTGATTTCAATGAGAAAAATTATCGAAAAATTTGGAATATTATTGTTTGTAAATTGTGCGATAATTAACAACCGACACCGAAGCGATTTAACGTACCGTGTGGGACTATTACGAGCAATTGTGGACTGCGAACCTTGTAACATGTTGAAACGAATTACAAAACGTTCACAATTATTTTATATTATCACACGCTGCTTTGCGTATACAAATTTTACTTCATTGCGTACTCAACGAGAGATTTATAACCGACGCCAGTTTGCCTGAGAATTACCGCCAAAATATGATTTCATATTTATTTATTTATTTAAGGCAAACAAACAGCTAAAATAATACATAATTATATACTTAGATTGTAATTTGGTAGCCACTGGAATTGGCACAAAATAAAATACAAGTAAACGAAACACAAAATTAGACAATACTAAAATTAAACAAATATAAACAAAATTAAACAAAATTAAACAAACACCACCACACCATATTTAGATCATATTGTTGGCATTAGAATCAATACAAATACCATATCGGATTTTGTACAGAGTAATATGAGAATTTTTAATTACATATTTATTGATTAGCTAACTAGATCTTAAATATAGCACATCTGAATATTATGTGGATTTTTTTTTTATTTCAATTATACGCTTTAAAATTGTTAGTTCTATTGACAGATTGTTGTTTTTTTTTTAAGTTCTTATTGTCTTTTTGTTTAAGCAATTGTCTTTGAAATATGTAAATTTCCTTGTTTTTGAAATATTGTTACAGTTTGATTAATCAATAACTACATTTAAATTTAATAAATAATAAGTATGTATGCACGCGACTTTATTCGAATTATCGGGATGTGATTTTATTTTTTTATGCATTATAATAGAACGGCCTGTGTTAGTGGTATACACGGGCGGGGCACCAGTGAGCGAATACTCGTATAGGTGAGGATGAAAGCAGGTCAGTTAACCAATTGTGACGAATCTGGTAAGAACTAACCATGATGGTTATCAGGAGTAACCGCGTGGAGGTCGATCTGATAGGGTGTATTATTAGGAATGGAACTGTTAGACCCATTAGTAACAATTCCTTTCCCCCACCAGGATGTGACTAGGCCGGTACCTCAACACTATACTTCATAATGATTTTACACGATGATGTTAAAACATCAAAACAAAAAAAAAATTCAAAATCTATTGCATGTTATTCATATTTAACATATGTATATTAACAAATTGTAATATTTTGTTGCAGATGGATACACAGCAATGTATCATCGAGTGAGACGAAAAATGATACCTCCCATCTGTGCCATATTAATTTTAAGTCGCATATCTACAGCATTACCAAAAAATATACAGAGCACAGAGAGTACTAATAGTAAAATTTCAAACGATGATAATAATATAGAAAACAATATTATAGACTTCGACGAGCAATATTCAGTTAAGTTCAATACAAAATATGTGCCGTTTCATTCAAATGAGAATTTTAATAAAGAATCCCATAGATACATACTTATTAAAGATGACAAAAGTACAAAAGTTAAATTAAAGGATGGGAAACTTAATGATACTCGAGTTAAAACATTAGTTGATACAACATCAGAGATTTTTGACACTACAACAAATGATTATAGTGTTATTCCATTAGAATTAATTAGTACAACAGAAAATAAACTATTGACTATAGTTGAAAGTACAACAGAACCTGACTATTCTGTTATACCTCTGTCAACTACGATAAAAGATTTACCTGACATTGTAATCAATCAAACTGTAACACTACCAACGTCTACTGAAAATTCTGAAATTGCCACAGAAGATTTTACTGTTAACATTGAAACCACTACTGTTAATAATAAAATAAAAATATCTAATGAAACGCTAATAAAATCTACTACTGATTTTACTACTGTTAGTAACAAAGTAAATGTTTTTAATAAAACTACTATAAAACCAGAATCATCTACAGCAGTTCCCGTTACAACAGAAATAATTGATACGACTGTAATACAGAATGACATGTCAACTGAAGTTCTTAATACGAATTCAACCAGAAAAATCGAGACTTTAGCAGAGAGGGACATAAACAGTTCAGAGGAGGAAATAGATGTGCCAATTTTTACAGAACTCGACGCAGAAGACGATCAAGAGGTACCAGAAGATTACTATGATTCTAAAGATGTAGTACCCACTACGGCGCCAAAGACTGATGCTTTGTCAGTGCTAATGGGACTCGCTGGTAGTGTGGTGGAGAGCGTTGTGGAAAGTGTGGCGGAGAGAGTTGTACCCAAGAGTATTTACGATCTATTTAAAAGGATGCAGAGGCAGAATGAAGCGTTGGAGGCGGAGAGGTTGAGGAGTCGCGAAGAGAATGGGGGATTGGGTAAGATCTAAAATGTTTGTTTCAATTTAAAATATTCAACGGGCTGTATGCTTGCTTGCCACCTTCGTGATATAAAAAAAAAAAAAACAAATTAGCATTAAAAAAAATACTGTCTTAGTCCTTGAGTAATTAAGAAACCAATTTATCTGAGTGATAATGCTAGGCTTGCTCTTGTCGTGTTGGATTCCAATATGCAAGTCCAAATTAAGGTATAGCGTTAGGTACATAACGGTTCCAATCAACAATAGATAATAGTCGTGAGCATTTTTTGTCGAGATAGCTAAATGTGCTTTTAAACATTTCTTTCGTCATAAGGTATGAAAAAAGTTATCCAATTCAATGCAAATACCTGTACTGTTTATAACTTCCAATCTAGCTCTTTATTGTTATGTAGGTAGAGTAATCATCTAATGTAAAAAAGCCGGCCTCTGGTATCTTAGGCAAGATCATAATATACTTGTTATATAAATATTCAGTATAAAATTATATTTAGGCATGCATGTAAGTGAGAATATTTATTTTTTGTACAATAATCTTTTAACAAGCTTACGGCCATTTATTTTACTAATAAAAATAAATGCATCGTCTTTTTTATTTTCTGTTTGCCCCATGGTTGACTGCTAGAGAACTCTGTTAGGTGTAAAAATGCCCTATATATATATATATATATATATATATATATATATATATATATATATATATATATATATATATTATTTATTTATTTATATAACTGTGTATTGAAGTTTAAATAAATTAAAATAAATTTAAATATAATAATATAATTTTTGTACAATTCCTTAGACCTCGCATATTTTGTGCATAATTTCAAAGCTCTAGGTCAACAAACAAACGCACTCTTTAGATTTTATATGATGGATTAGACATGACCTTGTGTTTTGAGCGTAACCTGATTTTTAGAGGACTCAATTTGTAGCTGAGATCGTATCAGAATAAGTTTTAGAAGGTTCTATATATCTGCTCCATCGATTGTAGACAGAATGGATGTTATAGTACACTGTGCCGCTCATGATACCCCTCATGCGTTGCTCTTCTTGGAGACTAAGATGTTATGCCTCTGTACCCTATAATTTCACTGCTATATATAGCCATGTAAATTCAGCTGCTACTGAAACACGAATGGGACCGGGGTACCCATGCATACGATTTTTGAACAGTTTACCTTTTTTTAATAGGTGATAATGAAATGGTAACCCCGCCTGCGCTATTGGTATACGCTGGCGGGGTACCAGTGAAGGATAACAGGTGACGATGAAAGCAGTTCAGTTAGCCCAGGTGGGGTTGCCATTCTATAATCATTCCATAATGTGAATATTATTGGTATTTGACCTAATCAAATACCAATAATATAAAAAAAAAAAACTAATTAGAGAGCGTAACAATATAATAATTCAATTCTAATTAATTTGTACACAACCAATAAATAATTATTCAATACTACAGGATATAACAGTTGTTGTTATTGACAATTTAATTACTAATGTAAGGCCGTGACTTTGTTTACAGTTCGATCGTCAATGACAGTGGAAAATTAATTAAAGTTATATCAAAGTATTTTATACGGCGTGAATTTACTGGGTACAGAGGAATAACACCTGAGTCCTCAGGAATGGCAACGCATGCGGGGTATCATGGGCGAAACAGTATATTCTGTTATGTCCATGGTACTGCTCATGTGTATAGGCGACGGTTACCACTTTCCATCAGGTGAGCCGTCAGCTTGTTTGCCATTCTAAGTTGTATAAAAAAAAAAAAAAACTCTGCTGTATTTAAAAATACCAGGTTTGATTTTTAATTAACCTTTACTTGAGGGTTATGAGTTAACTTAGGGAGTTTATATTAGAGAAGATTCTTTTTTTTAATACAGCTTAGTATGGCAAACAAGCTGACGGCCCACCTGATGGGAATTGGCAACCGTCGCCTATAGACATGAGCATAACAGAGGATACCGTTTCGCCCATGATACCCCCCACGCGTTGCCATTCCTGAGTACTCAGGTGTTATTCCTCTGTACCCTTGTAAATTGACATCAATTTTGGACCCACCAACAGCAGATATAGCTTATTGCGGAAAATCTTAGACATAAGTTCATAATCTACTTATTATTCAGATAATCTTATTGTTATTGTTAATGATTTATTAAATATTATAATAGTGCATGTGGTGTTCGCGTATAAAAGATTTTTACATTAGGCAAAATTATTTTTTGTGTTATTAAGTTGCATGTAAAATGTAAAAGTTGTATGTGAACCTTATTAAATAAATAAAATAAATAAATAAATAAATAGTACCCTGTAAATTCACGCCATATCCCACCCTTCAAACCGAAACACAGCCATGCAAACACAACTGCTTTACGGTTGAAACACGAATGGGACAGAGGTGTCCAAGCAAACGACTTTTGTACAAAGTCTCCCTCTGGTAAACATTCTTTTCCCAGCAACTAATAAAATAAGACGAAATTAACTTCTTGTGTTGGCAATAGATAGTACATATGTTTGTTTTATTTGTGGTTATGTTCTTTTATAGAGATTTCCTTAAATAGCTTTTTTTTTTTTAAAAAAAAAGGTAGCTGTTTACACTCGCGACAAATTATTAATTAATAAGGAAACTAAGGACATGTAGTCGTGCTCGTGTCTCAAAGGCAACCGTTCACTTTGAAAGCTCAAGACAGACTGATTTAAAAATGGCTATTAAATGACAGTCGAGGAACGCAAAAATGTCTAAGGCGGAGTTCCAAGGCAGTACTAAGCCTTACAGTGCTAGGGTATAACAGTTTGCTACAATAGTTTTCGACATGACTACCCCATCGTTGATTACAGTACATGAGCAATATTTCCCCTTTCTTCCCCGTGGGTGCCGTAGGAGGCGACTAAGGGAACTATATGGTTGTCAACACGCCTGCCAAACGTGGCAACTACCGGCAAAACTCAATGAAGGAGGTCTATGTTCAGCAGTGGACTGTTAATGGCCGATATGAGGATGATGATATGAGATAACGTAATATAAACCTTAATACTAAGAGAGTTAAGTAATAAATCCCGTGGGAGAATAATGAAGCAATTTACAATCTACAATTTACCTATTATAAATGTAAAAAATTAGATACAATAAAGTGACTTGATTATGTTGTAAAATGTTAAATAAGCTTCAGATTAAGTAACGCAAGTCGTATTTGTATGTCATTTATAATTTATAACGTGTTAACCCAGATAGCTAATATAATATGTTACTTAACTATTTCTTGTAAACTAATTTATATTATGAATGATAGTTGACCGAGTGTACACTCTCAAATTAATCATCAATAGAAATAAAGTGGCAACTCATGAGCGGTATCATGGGCGACACGGTATACTTTGCTTTATTTATTTATACAACTTAGAATGTCAAACAAGCTGACGGCCCACCTGATGGAAAGTGGTAACCGTCGTCTATACACATGAGCAGTACCATGGACATAACAGAGTATACTGTTTCGCCCATGATACCCCTCATGCGTTGCCATTCCTGAGGACTCAGGTGTTATTCCTCTGTACCCTGTAAATTCACGCCATATCCCACCCTTCAAACCGAAATACAGCCATGCAAATAACTGCTTTACAGTTGAAACACGAATGGGACAGCGGTACCTAAGCAAGTGATTTTTGTACAAAGTCTTCCTCTGGTAGATATAGTTGCGTGATATAGCGAGTAATATTAATAAATTTTTACCCTTCCAGGTCAATTTACTCGCGGTATCCTCAAGACTATCTCATCAGGCATCAGCAAACCACTCAGCCAACTGATGGCCGGTGTCAGGGACTTCGGGTCCTTGGACAGTGACCGAGGGTTTGTGGGCAGTTTGGCATCAGGGGTCACTAGTGTTGCCAACGTGGCGACCTCCGTGGTTGACGCCTTCAAGGATAGAGTACAAGCTATATATCCAGGTAGATTTTCTGATACTTGGAATGATAAGCTGATGGTCCACTGACCAATTTCTTTATATTAAAATGTACAAGCAAGAACAGCTAGCTGTACATAGGGCTGGCATCACCTAAATTATCCGACACCGGATAAACACGGCAAAAATCCCGGAAATTTGGACGAAATATGGTTTTAAACCCCGGACACTTCTGAAAAAAATATTTTTTGTAACATAAATAAAAACATTGTTATATAAAAACAGGGTTAATTGTGGATCAATTGATCGTCTACCTATAAAAAAAAGTTGGATTTCCCCCGACAACAAAAGACATTTTTCAAAAACTTCTCCGGACTGTCCTTCAAACTAGGACAAAACCGGGGAATTCTTGTACAGTTTGCCAATCCTTTTGTACTTATTAACCGACTTCAAACAGAAGACTCTCAATTCGATCTTATTTTTTTATGTTTGTAAATCATAACTCCATTTGTTGTTAACCGATTTGGATAATTCTTTATTTATCTGAAAGGATATACAGCGAACGCTCTATGTAAGTAACCTTTGTATGAATAACATTTTTTATATTTTATTTATTCTACTCAGCTTAGTTAGTAAAAGAAATAAGTAGAAATATTTTCCAGACGGTAAGTACCTATTTTTATACTCCTTTTTTCCCCTATAAGCAACTTTTCCCAATAAGAAACTTTTTTATTGAAAGTGGGTCAAATGAGTTGTTTATATAGAGCGTTTATTTATTTATTTATTTACACTTTATTGCACCAAGTAAAAAGAGAAATAACAAATACAGTAAATATTAATGAGAAGTGATACAAAAGGCGGCCTTATCGCTAAGCAATCTCTTCCACACAACCTTTGGGTAGAGGATATTGAGAAAAAGACAAGCGTTCACTGTACTTTCAGATTGTTACCATAAAAAATTTATCAAAATCGATCCAGTAGTTTAAATACTAAATTAAATAACTTTGGCTTTGTCATAATTGGAGTCGGTTTTTTTTATAGAACACAATGTACTCATGTATATAATTTTTTTTTATCAATTTTCTTAAAATATTTATTATTATAGTTGCGTTGCATATTATGACATTATATCTTACAAGTGTTTTTTTTTAATGAATGATAATGGAATGGTTACCCCATCAATATCAGAGAGATCTCCACGCGGTTCCCCATGGAAACCATCGTGACTAATTTATCGTTGAATTCGTCACGATCGGCTAACTGATCTGCCTTTTCATCCTCACCTATCACTGGTACTCCGCCAGTGTATACCGATAGCACAGGCGGGGTAACCATTTCATTTTAACTCATTAAAAAAACATGAATTTTTTAGACATAGCAACCTATGGAGAGAGACATACATTATAAACTTAAGTATTTTTTTTTATTTCATTGTATAATAATACAATTAAATTAAAAAAAAATATGCCATTTGCTAACCTTCAGGAACAGTGTGGTGTGGTGACGGCCACTCGGCCACCGCTCGCTCCGGAGATCTTGGACTATTCTTCTTCACGGACACGTGCTGCCGGCAGCACGACGCCTGCAAGATCTATATAAAGGCTGGTGAAACCAAATATGGGCTCACCAACACTGGACTCTTCACCAGGTAAGTAATTGATCATCAGGCCTGGTAAGGCCTAAGGTATACCGATTTCTTTCGACTTATAATAATATTTTTTTTATACAACTTAGAATAGCAAACAAGCTGACGGCCCACCTGATGGAAAGTGGTAACCGTCGCCTACAGACATGAGCAGTACCGTGGACATAACAGAGTGTACTGTTTCGCCCATGATACCCCCCATGCGTTGCCATTTCTGAGGACACAGATGTTATTCCTCCGTACCCAGTAAATTCACGCCATATCCCACCCTTCAAACTGAAATGCAGCCATGCAAACACAACTGCTTCACGGTTGAAACACGAATGGGACAGAGGTACCCAAGCAATCGACTTTTGTACAAAGTCTCCCTCTGGATAAATGAATTATTATATATGTAACATCATCGTGGCTGATGTGCAGCCTTTATCCACTGCTAAACATAAGCCTTCCCCTTGGGGGGTTTAGCCAGTAGTTGGCATGCTCGGCAGGCGGATTGGCAACCGTTGTCAGGCTTGAGAGATGTTTTAAGAGGGACGCTGCTGTCCATCCCTCGCCCTCCCTTAGTCGCCTCTTAAGACACCCACGGGAAAGGAAGGGCTGGTCCATTCTAATGTAATGAACCTAATAAAAAATATGATAACGTATTTATATAATATAATTGTATTTTTGTATATGATTTCTACCGTGAAGCAGTTGTGTTTGCATGGCTGTGTTTCGGTTGGAAGGGTGGGATATGGCGTGAATTTACTGGGTACGGAGGAATAACACCTGAGTCCTCAGGAATGGCAACCTATGGGGGGTATCATGGGCGAAACAGTATACTCTGTTATGGCCATGGTACTGCTCATGTCTGTAGGCGACGGTTACCACTATCCGTCAGGTGGGCCGTCAGCTTGTTTGCAATTCTAAGTTGTATATAAAAAAATTAAAAGAATCGATTCTGGTATAATTAAACTAGGGTTTTTTGTGTAATACAGTTTATTTATTACTCAAATATAGGGTTTAAAGTTAACGTAACATTTTTGATTGCAATAACTATAATATCGGCTACGAATTGCTGTTTGTTCATCTATCATATTTTGCAATAGTTGCCGAGGCCTGCCATGGCGTATAAATTGTTCGAAAACCACCTACCTACGCAGATGTCTCGAAACCATAAGAAAATCTGTTGTAATTGATTAAAAAAATGGTATTTTTTTTTGTAATAGTTTCACTTGATGTAACTGTAATTGGGTGAAACAAGGTCAAGCACAGTATGATGGGTGACCATGTATGGAATGCCAGAATTTCTTCAGCTTGGATAATTAAATGCCATAGGATTGGCAAAGTATTGCATAGTTTTATGTTATCTATTGAGTAATATGTGTATTTAATATAGTAATAGTGCATATGGTCATTTCATTACATCTTTACTAGCTGTTGCCCGCGATTTCGTCCTCATTTCTGTCGTTTTTCGTTAAATAAGTAGCCGGGATATGTTTGCTGACCGGGATGAACCTCTAGCCTTCTCCATCGCATTTAGTACGTGTATCCTAAATTTCATAGTGATTGGTTAAGCAGTTAAGGAGTTATAAGGTCACAAACAAACAAACTCATTTTCACATCTATACTTATAATAAATCTGTAGAGAGGTCAATTCTGTACATGAAATATATTTTCAAAATAACTATCAGGCGGTGATTAGTGATCGATACTGATGACAAAAATGCAATCAGTAAAATTTTTGTCTGTCTGTCTGTATGTTCGTTATAGAAACAAAAACTACTCAACGGATTGTAACGAAACTTGGTACAATTATTCTTAATATTCCTGGGCAGGTTATAGTATACTTTTCATCACGCTACGATCAATAGGAGCAGAGCAGTGAAGGGAAATGTGTCTGTTACATCAAAACCACTGAACTGTGAGGAAGGACATAGGGTACTTATTTTACGAAAAACGACGGAAACGCGGACGATGTCGCTGGCAATAATAAAGTGGCCAGTGAATAAATAAATAAATAAAAAATAAAATACATTCCATGTTCCATAAACATAGAGTACCTAATGTAAATTTGTGGAGGGAAAGGGATTGTTAGTAATGGGGTCAAATAGTCCTATTACTAGCAACATACCCTGTCAGGTCGACCTCCACGTGGTTCCCCCTGGAAACCATCGTGACTATTTCTAGTTTAATTCGTCACGATGGGCTAACTGACCTGTTTCATCCTCACCTATCATCCTTCACTGGCGCCCCGCCGGTGTATACCGATAGTGCAGACGGGGTTATCATACCATTATCACCCATTAAAAAAAAATTTAAATTTGTTGCAACATATCCACATGTACATGTTAATGTGTGCAACAGTTTAAAATAACCAGTTATTAACAGTTTATTTGCAACAAGCGTCGTTCCGGATACTTTGTGTAACGATCTGTGATATGGACGTCCGGATTGCGCGGTAATTGTGAACACTTTATTAACGTGGTCAGGGAGGGACTTAAGGGCGGGTAGAGGGGCAATTTATTTCTAGAACGGTGAAAATAAGGACGAAAAAATTGAGGGCTAGTGACGATCAGTAAGTGAGTGTTCCATATATGGTTTTGTGAGATGAAAATTGAATGGTAAACTCCTTCTTTTTTAAGTCGGTTGAAAATAAAGTGCGTTCCTTTATTAATCCTTAAAAACCTGATTTTTTAAATCAAATTGAAAATATATAAGTGTACCCTTTACTGTGTTTATAATGGGAAAAAATAGTAAAAAAAAAAATCAAAACGATATTTTTATATATTTATTTTGAAAAAAAAAAATTGGTAACATGTAAACAGCCAAATATTAAAATAAAATCGATTGTAGGCGCCCAATGCGATTTATAACCGATATCAAAGTCCGATATCAAATTTGAAACTTCAGATATTTAAGGGTTAAATTATATTAATTTTTTAACAAATCGATAACGACTGCTGTGAATTATGGGAAAATATACCGTTTTCCTATCCTGTCGGAGTCGTAAGAAGTGACTAAGGAAACTTAACGCAAGAAATGAGCAGCAGCGTCCTTCTTAAAATATCTCCAAAGCCTGAGTGCGGTTGCCAATCCGCCTGCCAAGCGTGGCGATTACTGGCAATACTAAGGGGGAGGCTTATGTTCAGCAGTGGATAGTTAAAGGTTGCTATGTTGATGACGTTAATACTAAGAAAGAAAGAGAGGCATAACTTTTATTTCAGTAAATTTCAGCTTTTCTCATAGCCACTTTTTATGAAAGAAGTTTAATATTTTCAGGATGACCTCAATTCTATTGTATTTTTTTGTATGCATGTTACGCGATGTCTTATCAACATAATATTATAATAAGTTTCTATAATCGATAGCTCGTTTCCTGCTATAGGTCAGTAAGTTTTTTTTGTCAACCAAAATTTGAAATATGAATTTATAAATCCCTTAGATATAAGTTTTATTTGGGAATCTTGGGTTTAAGTATACATATCGCATATATGTATATATGTATGTATGTTTACACATATAGACTATAATAATGGAATTTTATTAGTATTTATATTAAAAGGAGTGTTTGATACAATATTAATAAATACTCCGGTTGGTGCTGTAATAGTCTTTAATATATTTATTTGTTTTAGTTTTTCTTTATAATAGATATATAATAATAAGATTTACAACGTAACAATAAGACAGTCTTGTAGTAGTCAAGTGTAGTGTCACACAGAGGGCGTCTCCACCGAGCGATTAATATAAATTTTGCAGGGTAGTATGGTGACCGTTCCGTTGTATTAATTTACACGGCCTACCCACTACGTTTATGTCGGTCCGCCATTGTCTAGGCATGTTATGTTAGGCGTAATAATTTTTAATATACTATCTGTAATACTCATATTTGAGCAAATAAATTATTTCCATTACTATCGATGGGCTAGAATTAAAAGTGTCGTGCAAAAAAAGCTCGAATCATGATTTAGTTACACGTGTAGAGAATGCGCGCGAGCGCTTTCACCGGCGACGCCTGCGCAGCCGGTTGACAATCCAGCAGTTGCGCAACAGATTATCCAACGACACGCGTGTTGCACTCAAGTTGCACTTAACTTGTAACCTTGTTATAACTTAACTACGGTTTATCTTAACGACTAGCACCATCTTAAGCACTTTACATACATTGATAACCTAATAGTTTATAAGCATAGTTTAGTGGTTTTGTTTTTGTTTTTGATTCTTATTTTGTATGTAGTTATTGTCATTCATTATTTTTGTATTAAAAATCAACCTATTCTGTTTCACCTCTGTGAATGTTGAGTACAACTATAGTTGGACTGCAAACTTATAATGCTATTGTTGTATTCTATTGTTAAAAGATTTGTTTGTAATCTGTTGTTGTACCACAAAAATAAATAAAATAAATAAATAAACTAGCTAACTGATGATAAACTTGTGGTTTAATTTCTTATGATTGTACTGCTATATTTTATTCGTTTAATTTGTGTTTACTATTTAGAATTTTTGTTTTAATTTCGCTCGCGACATATCGCTTTTTGTGTGATAAAATTTTACTTGTATAATTAATTTCAATAGAATTTAATCAAAATACATAATAACGAATACTTAACTTGATCATAAGACATTCATAGCATAATGACATAGGATATTGATTATTACCTCAAGTCCACTTGACGTACATCCATACATCTTCATAAATTTTCTCTTTTATTATATTAGTAATTAGTAGTATTTTATTGTTATTGTCTCTGTATTTCAGATCGCACTGTAGCTGTGACGTCAAATTCCGCGAGTGTCTCCGGCGCACCAACTCCCTGGTCTCCGCCCAAATAGGTCTCACATACTTTAACGTGCTAGGCCCGCAGTGTTTCAGGCGCGCCCATCCCATAGTCAGGTGCCTCAGGAGGACCAGGTGAGAGAATAAAATGAAAAATACAGTAGACATGAATAATATCAGTTATGTGCGATACCGAATCGTATCTGTGTATTAGATATTTATATATTTTTCAACAAAGTTCGTAATGTAATGATGAAGGGTTATCACCAATTGCGACATTGCCCGTACCAATCTAGTATCTATATATCTATATACAACCGATATCTAATATATACATTAATTATATACCCATGAATCATGCCGTTTCAATTTCAGCTGTATTTTAATGGTGGGCCATTAAAATACAGCTGAAATTGAAACGGCATTCTTCTTCTATCAAGAAAACTGATCAAAGAGATTTTTCTAAAAAAAAAAAGTAAACATTTTTCAATTTAAATTTTTTGGAAAATGCTAAAAATAAAACTGTGTGTCATAAAAAAAAACTAACTTTAATTGTGATACAAGCTGTTAATTTAAAACTAAATCACACTATCTGTAAGTATATCCCTTCGGGTAAAAAAAATCCAATTCGGTTTACAATTGACAGACATATGAGGTAATAAATATATAAAAAATATATAATCGAACTTAGAACTTATTTCTTTTTGAAAATAAAATATAGAGGGCGTAATCGTAGTCGTGGGCTCTTTTAAAGGAAATACAATTCTGAGTTTTTAATACCCTTTTTTTATACAACTTAGAATGGCAAACAAGCTGACGGCCCGCCTGATGGAAAGTGGTAACCGTCGCCTATACACATGAGTAGTACTCGACAGAGTAATGCTGTTAGTATGAGAAGTTCACAGGTTTTTATCGTTTTACAATCGAAGTCCCTTTGGGTATCTTTAGTTTCATTGATAAAATACAAGGTGTGTTTAAAAGGGCATTAAACATTTAGATTTCATTACATATACATAGACATTAACTTTTTAATTACAATTTCCTAGTAACACAGGGCCGTATTTAGTACACAAGTTTAAGGTAGGGCAAATAAACTTTTTGGTAGGGCAGAAATCGTAATTAAGTGACATCGAAAAAGCGAATCTGTCTAAATTTCTTGGGGCCTTTTAATTTAAGGTAGGGCATTGCCCTTCGATGCCCCCTCCCCTTCGCTATGGCCATGTTGTATCATTCTTTGAACGCAACAATATACAGTTTTCATTCATTCATTCATTCATATAATACAAAAATTCTTATTTATATTATCTGTATTGGCGTGGGCTTCTTTTATGTATGTAATATGTATGTATTTACAATATATATATATATATATTTAAGGTATATTTATCAGATATCTGGTGTTCATAGTTCAAGCTCTGCTTACTTTGGAACTAGCTATCGCTATTTATTTATTTATATGAGTCAACCGTAGCAAACGTGAGCAGGCCGGACCGAGATGGCGTCCGTTCACGAGTATGACGGGTAGACCGGCCGTCATAGCTGTCCATAATGTAACTCCCATATCTGAACCGAAGACATCGTTTTGGACAATTGAGTAAGCATAAACAATGGGAAGGATGTCCAATAATTCAAAAATTACACTGACGGTGTTAAAATACCATGTATCATATTTGAAGGACTGCACAAAAACTGCATGCATGCGGCTTAGCGGGTAGAGGGCGTTTGTAATGGGCCCTTGACATGAAATAATTGGGTTGTTGATGGTTTTAATGGATGATAATAGATGATAATGTATGATAATGTATGATAATGTACGATAATGTATGATAATGTATGATAATGTACGATAATGTATGATAATGTATGATAATGTATGATAATGGATGATAATGGATGATAATGGATGAAAATGAATGAAAATGGAATTATAACTTCGCTTACTCGGTATATACGTTGGCGGAACACCAGTGAGGGATGATAGGTGAGAATGAAAGGCAGGTCAGTTAGCGCATCGTGGCAAATTTACTACGAATTAACCATGATGGTTTTTTATGGGTGCTAATGAAATAGTCGCCACCCGCGCTATCGGTATACACCGGTTTGGTGCAGTAGTTTTGCATGAGGCTGGAACAAACATAGAGATAGACAGATAGACCGACAAACAGACAGACAGACAAAATTTCAAAAACAAATGTAATTTTGGCTTCCCCTCATATAATTTTTTTCTCAAATATCTCCCACGTGCAGACAGTTTATAAAGTATCATTATACATTTATATACATAGTTATATAATCAATATTAGTTTTAAAAATGAACCCTTTCTCATTTGTAATTAAGGTTTAAATTACATTGAATTGTTTAAAGTTTCACAAATCGTTTTTCTCTTCTGCAATATTAAAGCCAAAACAAATGTAATTTTGGCTTCCCCTCATATAATTTTTTTCTCAAATATCTCCCACGTGCAGACAGTTTATAAAGTATCATTATACATTTATATACATAGTTATATAATCAATATTAGTTTTAAAAATGACTTTTCTCATTTGTAATTAAGGAAAAACATAGAGATAGTTTACAGTTTCACAAACGTTTTTCTCTTCAGAATAAAATTTCAAAACAAATGTAATTTTGGCTTCCCCTCAAATATTTTTTTCTCAAATATCTCCCAAGTACAGACAGTTTATAAAGTCCCATTATACATTTATATACATAGTTAAATAATGAATATTAGTTTTAAAATTAAACCCTTTCTCATTTGTAATTAAGGTTTAAATTACAATGAATTGTTTAAAGTTTCACAAATCGTTTTTCTCTTCTGCAATATTAAAGCCAAATGATGTACCGCATTATTAATGATCATGGGGTTACGAAATACTCATAATATTATGATATGATCGAGAGAGGCGCAGCAACGTGTGGCGCCATCTGTGTTCGTTTCGAACCGGCTTCTTTATATTTATTGCATGAGTGTTATGCAAATATATACTTGCAATAGATGTAACATTCTTCCACCGGGTTGCACTTGTTATTCGTATTATGCTAATACAAACAATTAAGATTTACAAATATTTGCACCACACCGCACTGTTTTTTATAGAAATCTAAATAAAATATTACTACATCTATACCAATTTGTATCAATGTATCAATGATGTTATTATCAAAACAAATATTATGAAAATTTTATGTTTTTTTGTTTATTAATTATTCATATTTATTTTATTGATGGGTGAAAATGGTATGGTAACCCCGCCTGCGCTAACGGGATACGCTGGCGGAGCACCAGTGAAGGGTGATAGATGAGAATGAAAACAGGCCAGTTAGCCCATCATGATGAATTCATCAGCAATTAACCATGATAGTTTCCAGGGGAACCGCGAGGAGGTCGACTTGGTTGGGTATATTGCTAGCAATGGGATTCTCAGCCTCCATTACTAACAATCCCTTTCCCCCCGAATTATTCATATTGGCTTTACTCGTCTTTAAATTTGGGTGTCCGACTCTCTAACTCAGTAGAAGCCTTTATTCATGAGCGCGGTCCACGCATGTATTGCGTGAGCAAAGTCGAGATAAATCTTTACAATACAGTATAATTGTTTATTGGTATTATAGTATGTAATCTATAATTATGTATGTATATTTATAATTGAATATTTTTTTTATGATATATATTTGTATATGTAAGTAATATTTATTTAATATATTTATGTATGTATATTTATATAATCGTAGTGTACAGTAGTTCTCCATTGTATGTTTTTTTTTATACAACTTAGAATGGCAAACAAGCTGACGGCCCACCTGACGGAAAGTGGTAACCGTCGCCGTGGATAGACATGAGCGGTATCATGGACACAACAGAGTATACTGTTTCGCCCATGATACCCCCTATGCGTTGCTAACCCTGAGGACTCAGTTGTTATTCCTCTGTACCCTGTAAATTCTGTAATTGTCGAGGGATGAGTAGCAACGGCCCTCTTAAAACATCACAAAAATCTAACTGCAATTGCCAAATCGTCTGCCACGCGTGGCAAAGACAGGCAACCCTCACCATCTTTTAAGGGGGGACAGTTAAAGGCTGATATGGTATGGTATATACCATATAAGCGCTTTCCTAAACGATGGTCGTTGAATTGCGACTGATTCTAATCTCTAACAATTTCCAGGATAACTGGACAGAAGTGTGAGGAATACGAGCTGGACTTCACCAAACCGAAGATGTGGCAGTGGTTCGATAACGAAACATTCTGAGGGTTCAGTCCGAGGGATGGTAGGTGACGACGGAGATAGGCCAGTTGACCCATCGTGACAGATTCGGTAGGAATTAACCACGATGGTGTCCTGCAAGACAGCAAGGAGTATTTGAGGGTGTATTGCTAGCAATGGCGCTGTTAGCTCCTGTTACTAATCTCTATCAACCAGGGGATGGCGTGGGGGATCAATCATGGAGTACAAACCGTGGTACCTACTAACCTTCTGTATCAGCAGATATACACCAACTAGGCATGAACATTACCGGTACAGCTGCGATAACTATATATTGGGTTTCTCTGAAAATAGACAGCGGAAAAAAGGTCGTTGCCCATTTTAATATTGCCGGTCAAGTCGAGAATTCATTTCGATATATATCGAATAATCGATATTTTGCCGTGTGGTCTCGGTATAGAATGGGCCACCCCTTCCTTTTCCATGGATATCATAAGAGATGACTAAGGGAACTTAATGGGCAAGGGATAAGCAGCGTCTCTTTAATAATCACCAAAACTGCTGATATATATATATATATATATATATATATATATATATATATATATATATATATATATATATATATATATATATATATATATATATATATATATATATATATATATATATATATATATATTGTTATACCGACACATCATAGCTCTCAGAAATGGCAACACATGGAAAGTACCATAAGCGTTATATTAATATCCATGGTGTTGTCCATGTCTACAGGGTGTAATCAAAACTTTTATGTAAACTTTTAAGGCAGTGTTCTACAGCTTATCTGATAGTAAATGGTTACTGTAGCCTATGGACGCCTGAAAGAAAACTAGAGAAACCTTATTACGCACTGTTTGAAGAATGCCATGCTGTAGCCTCTAGGGAAAACTTCGGCAGGGAACTCATTCTACAGCTTAATCTTTCGCGGGAGGATACTCCTCATAAACCGCACTGTATGCGACCATTTTGGTGACAAGGTGTGAGGATGAAATCCCTGTTAATGGCGAGAGATGCGATGATAAAATGAATTTGTGTAGGGAACATATTTAATTTTTTTTGATGGGTGAAAGCGGTATGGTAACCCCGCCTGCACTAACGGGATACGCTGGCGGAGCACCAGTGAAGGGTGATAGATGAGAATGAAAACAGGCCAGTTAGCCCATCATGATGAATTCATCAGGAATTAACCCTGATAGTTTCCAGGGAAAACCGCAAGGATGTCGACCTGGTTGGGTATATTGCTAGCAATAGGATTCTCAGTCTCCATTACTAACAATCCCTTTCCCCCCCATAACTAATATTGACCGTTCGACTATCAATGTTATTTGGGAAACAGTTCAGCAGAAACAGATGTTGTTTCACAGGTAGAATCTTCATTTAAGAAGAGCTGCTATTTTAATTACATTTAGTAAATCACTGACTGACTAATGTAATATTTAACTTTATAACACTAAATATTTTAACCTCTTTTCTACTTATTTCTCCGCGACCAGAATTTTTTGAGCATAAAAAATAAGCTTGAGGTTCTTTAAAAAAGAGGTAAAGGGGTTTCTTCTGGGTCGGCAACGCGCGCGTAATACCTCTGGTATTGCAGGTGTTCATAGGCTACGGTAACTACTTACCATCAGGTGGGCCGTATGCTCGTTTGCCACCTGTGGTATAAAAAAGATTTCAATCAATTAGATTATATAATACTTAACGAATATTCCGTCAATAGGGCCTCCCACTACCACAAAATCTGGATTTTTTTTTAAATCTGTTGAATCCGAAATAAAATTAAAGTATTTTTTATTTTTTATTTTATTAATGAATATCCCAACGCTACTATACACATAAGAATTTCTTGAAAAATACTACTTACTAATATATTCCACTTTATAAGTATCAATAGCTCGAATCTGAAAAGCCATTCTTTAAATTTCCAAAATTAAAATTAATTTTGAATTAAATTTATAAAATAAAAAATATTATTAATTTTTATATAAATAAGTAAAAAATTATTAGTAGTTAGTTATATATATAATTTTTATCTTATACTTATATTCTATTACTAACTACATAGCTACTAATAATTTATTATTTGTCGTATTATTTTTGCACCATATATGTTTTGCTTCATATACAAACCCTACAAACACTTTCTCCTTTCGGGTTCTCAAGGATGTCTGGAAGAAATCACTCACACATGGCAAAATATATATTACATTTTGTAAGAAACAATACGGTATACATCCTCATTTATGACTTTTTATGTATATGATTTAATATCCATGTAATACGTAACGTATTAATTGTAAAACACTATATAAGATATAAAGAAAATGTATAAAATTTCGCAGAAATAAAATGTATAATTTTATAAATAATGCACTTTGAAATAACGAATAAGTTAACTGTGTATTTTTATACATATAAATGATGTAAATAAATAGAAATTATATATATAATAAAAATAATTGTTAAAAATAAACAAATAAAGAATAATGAAGTAAACACGTGTTTTATTTTAACCAAAGTAATTCACTCACAAATTAATCTACATACATATATTTTTTAAGATTTCGTTAACTTAGCAAAGGAGATACGTTGAACACACAGCTTACATAGATCGAAGAATCGACAACCGTTAGGGAAGAAAGGTTCTTTAGTGGCGACTCCTTACGAGCAACAACAAAAACAACATGGTCTTCTCTTGCCCGCCGGATGATGTGTGGGCGGGCGAGGTAGGGGCCTCGTGGCGTACCCCATTACCCCGGCTTCTACTCCGGAGGCGACGACCTCCGGGTCACTGGGTTTGCAGTCCTTACGAGCAAATACGAGTACAGTGTGGGCGACCCCGATGGGGTGACGACCTTAAATGCGTTGCAGGGAGTCAGTGGATGCAGGTGGCTCAGGACCGTTCATGTCAGTCTATGGAGGCGTATGTCCAGCAGTGGACTGATAAGGGCTGAGATGATGATGATGATGATTTACGTATCTCTTAATTTCGATTGTATTTTTTTTAGACGTCCTTAACTCAGTCAGTTATAAGCCGATTTGGAACATTCTTTTTTTTACTATTATATAATATATTTAAAAGAAAACTAAAAAGGTGGCTGATAGAAAAAATGTTTTTACTCGGTTAATGAATATTTTGAATAATTTAAAGTTTACCAGAGGGAGACTTTGTACAAAAGTCGACTGCTCGGGGCACCTCTGTCCCATTCGTGTTTCAACCGTGAAGCAGTTGTGTTTGCATGGCTGTGTTTCGGTTTGGAGGGTGGGATATGGCGTGAATTTATTGGGTACAGACGAATAACAGCCGAGTCCTCAAGAATGGCAACTCATGGGGGGTATCATGGGCGAAACAGCATACTCTGTTATGTACATGGTACTGCTCGTGTCTATAGGTGACGGTTACCACTTTCCATCAGGTGGGCCGTCAGCTTGTTTGCCATTCTAAGTTGTATAAAAAAAAAAGTGACTCATTAATGTAATTTGTAAAATGATTGTAATTTGTAACCTGTATAATTTATTATTAATATATATTTAATACGTAAATATGTTGACGTGTATTATATATCATGACGATATAAGTAAAATAGTATTAGCATAGTATAGTAGCACAATTAAATAAATTTGCACGCCAGATTCTGGTGAAAAGTGTGAACAATTAATAAACAAACAATATTTAAATATTATATACCATCTTTTATATCACTTTTCAAACAAAATAAAGCTATTTGTATTTGTATTTTGTATTTACTTGAAAGGACATACTTACAGATAACATATATACCATAGAAATTTTATCGAAATCATTTTATATTCAGTAATTAAGATCAATCATGGTTTTGCTGGAAAAGAAATGAATTTTTTTAGAGAACTTTGTTAATTATTATTACTTCAGCCATATAATATATATATATATATATATATATATATATATATATATATATATATATATATATATATATATATATATATATATATATATATATATATATATATATATATATATATATATATATACTCATAGGACCCCGAGAAAAGTCTGAAATAAAACAACAAATTGATTTTATGTACGAAACATCAGAATATATTTCGAAATGTTACATTTAACAATTTGTTGTTACACAATGACGGGTTGACACAACATAATATATCATATAATGTAAAATATAAGCGGTACAAAATCAAGAATCCCATAAAAAAGAACACCATTCTAAATTTACTTGACATGTTATTCGTTTGTGCGTAAAATTTTCTCAGAAAAATCGTGTATATAATTAGATATGTAGGTAGATTCAAAATGATATTCCGATGATTACAGTCCATTGGCAATAAGTACATGATGATTTTAATACAGAAACTCCTATAGAATGTTCTAGCAATGAGATTATGATAAGCCTTATTCTGTTCAGTACAATATGTTCATATTTTAATACAGTATTGAATAATATGTATAATTTTTCGAAAACGTATTGCATATTGCTCGCACAGCAACAGATTTCACAATATTTATATATATATGGCAACTATAGCCCGGCTACTTCGTGAAGGGCGCTCCTGCGTAGCCACATACGTTTGCGGTCGTAAGAGTGCCACACATGAAGTTGACAGACTATAAATGAAAATATTCGGTCAATTAATTTTAATCTAAAAGTAAAAGCAGTAGTATGCTTGCTGACATTACAGTAGTCAGTATATTAAACTAATCGCGTAAAAACATAATTAGGATTTTCCTAATACATATTTTATATATATATAATACATATATAATCGGGACATTCTGTATATATTATTATATATAATTCCGGAAAATACTTAATTTTCAACCAGTATAAATACTAACTTAAAAATGTTAATTTAAAAATTAAATTAAATTATTAAATTAACCGACTTCAATCGTGTTCTGTTAGATATAAAAGAAATGGATACTAAATTAATTAAAAAAAATATTTCTTTGACGTTTTGAAAATGGCTGACTTCTATTTATGTTGACATTTCAAAAATGGCTGACTTTTTGTTGTTGCTGACTGCAATAATAGATGCGCGGGCTCCATTGCCGTCTAGAAAATAGTATGATATTACATTGATCATAAATAGCTAGCATTGTAAAACATGATAGTTGATTACTTGACACTTGTGATATATATCTTATTCATTTATTACAATTTATTTAAATAATTAATAAATGTAAATAATAAAAATTACACACTCACTTATAACTTAGATATTTTTATAATTTTACATATATGTAAGTTTGCCGTTTCTTTTCTAAGAATATGTAGGTTTCTTTCTAAATGACAAAATTATCAGTTTTTATATATGTAAAACAATAGATCAAGCAGTTATTTAATATTATTCATTTAAATAAAGACAATCTACATTAATAGAAATTGCTCAAACTTACAGTAAATTAAATAATTTATTATTATTTATTATCATTTATAATTAATCTAGTTGTTAATTAAATTATATTAAATGTATTCTTATATATTTTCACAGATGTCAAACACTTTATCATATGATTTTTTAATAAATAATTAAAATACATATAAATTATTAATAAAT